TATATATAAACAGTACACAAAAAAAACACATTTTTCACAGCTTTGGCAAAAATAATGAGTAAATAATTAGTAGGGATGCACCAATACTGGTTTTTCGGCATGGAGTACGAGTGCCGATATTTTTTTCAGACACTCGGTGATACCGAATACCAATGACCGCATCCCGGGGTACCATTGGCCCGGCTTATCAGTAAGCCGGCGGCGGATTATGACGTGCCGCCCAGCTTCCTGATTGGTCAGGAAGCCAATCAGCTAGCAACAAGTGAAGATGGCTTCCTAGCCAATCAGGAAGCAGGGAGGCAGGTCATCACCTGGTGCTTGGCTTCCTGATTTAAAAAAAAAATCTGTTTTAATGAAAGGGTCTAAGACGACAGGCTCCATTTTCCCACAAGTTCCCTTTAAAATGCATCAAACCCCAATAATAAGAATGTAATATATTGCAGCTTACCAGTCCATTGACGTGGTGATAGCATTAATTATCATTTCTCTTTTCTTTTCACCTGGTGATCCTATCAGTAACACACTTAGGAGGTTATTCACAAAAGGAGCAGAAGGATTAAGATGAAGCACCGGCTAATCCTACGGTTCACTTCGGGCCACCGGAGCCCTTCGGCTCAGCCGAACCGAAAGGGCTGCTGTATGGGCTATTCACAATAGCATGTACATCAGCCGAGCGGTTGAGCTGAGCCGAACACATGTGCTTCGGCTCGGCTGAGCAGATCGTTCTCCCCACAAATGTAAACAAATAGGCAGAGCTAGCGGTGACGTCACATCTGCCTCCAACTATTTGTTATCATGTAATAACAGGCTACTATCCTCAGGTCATTTGAGAACAGTAGCCTGTCATTCTATGACAACAAACCGGCAGAGCCGGTCGCGACGTCACGGCCGGCCACGCTCATTTGTTTGGATTTGGTCGGGACCTCAAAAGACCTATATGACAGATGCCAGCCAAATCAAAACAAATGGGCGGAGCAAGCGGTAGGGACCCGGGAAAAGCACCATCCCAGTGTCAAGGGCATGTGGCCTGGTATGGCAGGGAGGGGGGCACTATGTTGTCCCTATGTGAATAGGGGCGAAGGGCAGCGAGTGAACTGCCAGAGGATAAGCTCAGCTGATCGGCTTCTTCACTTCGGCTCAGACAAACATGCTGAGCATGTTCGGCTGAACCGAAGAGCGCCAAAGCCAATCAATGCATGGCTGATTTTAGCCTATGTACGGCTGAAATCAACCGCACAGGGCAGCAGCGAATAGCCAAACGGCGGTCAGCTCACTTCACTTCGGTTGCCTTCGGCAGCTTATAGAATAACCTCCTCAATGCTCATTCACTGTACTGACTCTATGTAGGAGAAGCGTTGTCGCCCTACAACAGGAAGTGTGTAAAGACATCAGAACAACTCTCCTCATCTTCATAACACTGAGTGAGGGGGGTGTAGGGGGGCCCAGGTTCTGTAGTTCACAGTGGTGAACTGGCCAGGGCTGATAAGAATTAAGATGTGCTGATGATGTACTAAGAATGTGCTCACCCAGGGAAAGCAACAAGTTTAGCAATCGCACCAACCCCATCTATACAGCCGTATCTGCTCTTCACTCTTATACGGTTCCATTCAGCTGCCAGGAGAAGAGAGTAATGTAACCAACTCCCCTCCTTCCTTCCACATGACAACGCTGGTGCTTGGTGACCAGTCCTGCATTGTCACATAGCAGCAGGGAGACAATCACCAGGTACAAAGACTATTCTACAGGGGGAGCCTTACAAATAATATGTAATAGTATGTGCTGTCATAATGGTACGAGCAGCCGATATAACATATATAAAATATAACTAAATAGTTCCACTTAAACTCCAGACACACACTGAGATGTCAGTTTTCAGCAACCTTCCTTGGTATGTTGCTGAGCATGTTAACACTTCTAGGGATGTAAGATCAATGCTAACCCACTATTCCGACATCCATGTACAAACCTTCTTTATTTATGGCCTCAATCTTGGCAGGATAATACCGACAGTCAGTCCACCGAGCTAGAACTTCTTCTCCTTCCTTGAAATCCTACAAAATGTCAATAAGCATATTTCAGATTTAAAGTCCTTTTTTATTTTTTTTACATTTTTACAATAACCTACAAAAGGCACTTGTATTTTTGCATACACTTCTCCTTATTGTAAGGACAATATTAGAAACAGAGACTTTCCATCATAAGAAGTGGCAGAAAGTCTTCTCTAACAAAAAAAAAACCTTCCCCACTCTTTCACAATCTTTAAAGCGATATTAATCCCCCTTATTTTTTATTTGCTATAAGGTTGCCCACCTTTGCCTGAGGCTGTTGTTGTTTTCCTTTAAAATCTTTTAATTCCGCGTTTTCAAGTCGGTCCCCCGCAGCGTACTTCCCCCCGCCCCTATTCGGGTGCACCCGTACGCGCCCGCAGTGCCTGTGGGCGTCCATAGACACACACAGCCCTGTGTTAGGCCACTCCCCTTCTCTCTTTGATTGATGGCTGAAGGAGCCTGTGGCTCCTCTGCTATCAGTATCCTCCCCCCGCAACCAGGAAGCTTGTGGAACTGAGGAACACTTCGGGACCGGCGGTGGGGACAAGCGCCGCTGACACGTAAGTGTGGGGGGACGGGAACTGGGGGAGAAAAAAGGTTCTGGGCGGTTTTTACCGGAATGTAGAGAATGCAATAAGGTAAAAAAATGCCCTACTACTACTTTAAGAAACATTTTAATTGGGTTAACACTTGAACATTTTCACCATAAGAGAGTTCAAACTTACATAGTTCTCCTCTTCGTCTCCAAGCGCTTCCTTCTGCAAAGAAGGCTTTTCCAGAGGACGGATCCGACTGCTGTCCCAATGGATCCACTCATCGTATCGGCTGCTCCAACGCTCAAAATGCACCAGCATTTTCCCCTCCTCATAATCCATCTTCTCTATCTTAGCTGGGTACCTGAAGAAATGAGGAATATCGAGATGATTGAGAGAAATAACTAGTAAGGGTCCTCTCAAATATCACTTTGGCCATTGGCCAAGCAGCAGACAGGAAAACAAAAGCCCAAACCTATTTATACAATACCTGTGTCTACAACTTTAACTACTTCACCAAAAAACGTACCCAATTTTCAGACTGGAATGACAAGACCATCAAAGGATCCCGAAACTGAAATAAAACTATAGTGCTTTTTTCTGTCTGTTTTTTTTTTTTCTTTCCATTGAGCGCCAATTTTTATTTTTAGGCCCCTTTCACACGGGCTGATCAGGAGAGTATCCGATCACGGATCCCCTCCTGATCGGAGCAGTACAGATTGGATGTCACCAATGGGACATCCGTATCTGTCCAGTTTTGTCCTCCATCCACTAAAACTGCTGGACCCCATTTCATCTATGGGGAATTGGATGTAAACTGACATGTGTCTATTTACATGAGATTCCCCCCGATGACACGCTGAAGTCCGGCAAACCTGTTCCATTTGTTTGGACAGACAAACCTGTCTGGAGCCGGGGGTAATCAGGGTGTAAACGCAGGCGGTCCGATCAGTGACCTTAGCTACTTGTGTAATCCCTTCTTTAAAAAATTCTGTTTGAGGGTTCAGTCACACCAAGGGCGTATCTGCCGCGAGAAAAACAAGGCGTTTGCCTCGGGCGGCAGATTCCAATGGAGCGGCAAAAATACCGGGGTCTCGGTGTACTGGCCCGCGGGCCAATTGCGGCCTGCGAGCTGGTACTTTGTGGCCTGCAGCCAGCTCAGAAGTCAGGTACGCGGTCACAGACCGCATACCTGACTTACGGGAGCAGCTACACGCTCTGCACCTCTGACGGATGTAGACCGTGTAGCTGAGTCTGCGCCGGCACTCGGATCCTTTCGGCCAGCGCTCTTTCAGTGAAGGATTTTGCAGGATTGACTGGTAAGGTCTGCAGCAGACCTTACCAATCAAGCACCAAATCACCTGGAACGACGTGCCACCTCACAGCCTCCTCCCTGCAACAAGGTAAGCAGGAGATTATAAGCGGCAGCTGTCATCTAAGTTAATGATCAGGTGAGAGCAGTTGCATGTAAAGATACGTGCATCGATTGTGCTTCCAGGGAGAGTGTTTTCTAACCGCATGTAATCATATTACATTCCATTACATGCGGTGTGCAGGCGTTTACATGGAGCTGCTGTCACCTGATCATTAACTTGAATGGGTGACAGCGGCCGCGTGTAAACATCAAATTAGGGTTAGGGTTATTCCTGCTGCAGGAAAACGCAATTTCTGATGCAGGAATCCCTAATCACACCTAAATATGGTATGAATATGGTCTTGTTTTGTGTATATTGGTGTCTGCAGTACCATACCGGATACAGTAAAATTTTATTTTAAAGTATAAAATTTGTCAAGCTGCCCCCATGGGAGAAGAAAATTTGTGAAGTGGCCCCCGAGACGGAAGAGGCGGGGGGCCATGACGGAGGAGGCGGGGGGCAGAGATATCGACGGAGGAGGTGGGAGCCGTCGCAAGGCGGCGAAGATGAGAAGGAGGCCGTGTTCCAAAGAGGTCAGGCCGTGCAAGGTAAGAGGACTGTGCTGGCAGAGCCCAACATAGATTCTGCACAGCCCACCAAAGAGTCTCAGGTGGGCTGTGCAATACCCTTTGGTTGGCTCTGCAGGATCCGTAGGGGGCTTTGCAGCCTGCTAAGCCCACCACAGATCCTGCTCAACCCCCTGAGATCCTGCAGGGTCTCAGGGGCTCTGCAGGATCTGTGTGGGGGGGGCTTGTCAGGTCTCAGGGGGGCTTTGCAGGATCCATAGGGGGCTCTGCAGACTGCAAAGCCCACCACAGACCCTGCAGAGCCCGACTGAGACCACAGCCGGGTGGGGTAAATTTAGTGTGGGGGGGGGGGGGGCCCCGAGTTTTGTCTTGGCTAGGGCAGCCCCAAACCAAAATACACCACTGAGTCACACCATATCCAGTGCGTTCCGGCATGATTCAAGCCCGAAACGCACTGGATCACATAGATCAGGTGGAGCTGCGTTCTGGGGTGTGACAGTGTCAATCATGTCAATGGCACCGCAGACACCAGTGCACCAGAACGGAGGGCATTTCTGTACCTCGCATTCTGGCACAGGTGATCGCAGTGCGGATGGGGGGGAATGTCTACCGTGCCATTGATATGGATGGCCAGGCCTGATCTATGCAATCCAGTGCCTTCCGCCACATTTCAAAATGGTGTGACTGGGCCCCTTTAAGGTTCATTGAACTTTGGAATCAAGAAAAAAAACAGTCATCAGGGAAAAGATAATGATAATGTTTGATACAATTCTAACAATGTTTTCTGAGACAAAAAATAACAATATACACAGAGCTCATAAACAACATCCATAAACAAGTATATAAAACTATAATGCAAACTACAAGATTGCGTAATATTCGTGATCTCCTATCACCAAATCATATATTTGTATGAATACAATTAAACAGCCCCGTCGTCAGTCACGAAGGGGTTAAAGTATGTCGCTGTCACCAAGTGTGACCACTGTTAGCTTTTAGTTTCTGGCTGAGAAGTACAGAAACATTTCCGAAATCCTGGGCATATGAGGTGTTTCCAAATAAAAAACAAATAAATGAATTTATTTTAATGCATTTTTTTAACTGCGATTTTTTCAAAAATAATGTCTGTACTTGCAGCGTTTTTAAAGAGACACAGGGGTGTGGAATTCCTATCGCCCGACGCCTGGGACATGCAGTTTCGGGCGCCGGGCGAGTAGGTTTTTTGTACATTTAGCCCTGCTTCGGACAAGCAGAGCTAAATGTACAGCGTGGAGCAGCGGCTCGTTTTTATACACGTGATCTATTTAGATCACTTGTATGAAACGAGCAGCGGCGATCTTGTCCGCCCCACCGCGGTTTTTGGGGCCCCCCCTCTATTCTGGGGGACCCATGATCACTGCATAATGGCTCAGCCATAGAGATCGTAGAGCAGACAAAGAACGGTGCATTCTTCGTCTGCTCTGTGTGATCACTGAGACACTCTGGCACTGTAATCACAGCGCCACCTGTCTCCGCTGTCAGGAACTTCTCAGAACAACGGTTCTGTGTTGGAGGGCAGGCTCCATAAAGAGAACATGTCACCTCCAAACTAAATACAATATAAATTAAAACCAACTCAGCTGCCACTGCCGTAAATAAATACACGCATAAGGGCATTGTGTGTGTGCATTGAGTGCTGCCGCCATTCCACTGTGTGCCATATTGTGGTAGCCAGGCAACAGAACTCTCTCACACGCACAATGTGCATTAAATAGTAAGTTAACTTTCCCAGGTAATATGGGAAAATGGAATTACCCGATCAAATCTGGCCCGGTCTCTCCCAACCCCCCACCCCCACCCCTGCAAATACTAATAATACTGCAGGGATGTATTAAATATGCGTTTTGTTTTTTTTTTCATATCTCTATAGGTTGAACTCGATAGACATGTGTCTTTTTTCAACCTAACTATGTAACTATGTTTTATTTTTCTATTTTGCCCAAATATACTCCTTAAAGTCTATGTCCAGGCATGACCCAAATTTAGACCCAAACCTCCATCTCCCCTTTTACATCATTATTCTGTGTAAAAGTCCAACAGAGAAGCTCCTATAGTGGAAGTCCCGAGACTCACACCAAGTGAATGATGCCATCTATGTCCAATGATAGACTTGGCGAGAAGTGGACACACTAGCTTTGAGCATTGTAGGAATCACTGACTCCAAGTTGCCCCTGTCCATCAGAACGTGGGCATCAGCCATCCTGGTAAAGCCAGTGACCATGAAGCAGGATGGCAAAGTCTATGGGGCCAAAGACACAATATTCAGCACCAAAGGAAGCACCTGCACCTCTCTATAAACTGCACTGTATCATGTGGCACAGGTGTAAATGACACCATAGAGAATAGTAGGATTTCAATTGCCGTGCACTGTAAGTAAGGTCACAGCTATATAATAATATAATAACAATTTTTTGGTAAAATATTAAAGACGGGGTCACGTCGGGTAATTACATACCAAACATGTCAAGCTTTAAAATTGCGTTCGCCAGTGAAGCCGCAAAAAATTTCAATACCCAAAATTTCCTATGGGGAACACTTTACACGTTTTTACGGCTCATCAGTTTAGTGCGAACAGTAACTGATGGCCCTAAAATTATTGCTCTCACTCAGACATTCGCAACGATATGCAACATGTGTAGCGCAATTGTCATTTTCACATGTAGGTGCACCGACGTGTGTATGTGCGTGCACATGGGGGTAATTTTTAAACACTTTTTTTTTTTTTTTTTTTTTACACTAACCCTACCCTATTCCTATCACATAGGGGACTAACAAGCCCCCTATGCAATAGCATATAGGGTGTGACAGGTCCTCTTTATGGAGAAACCAGGGGTCTTTCAGACCCCTGTCACCTTGGGACCCCAAAGAAGCTGAGATCTACTTCCCCAGCTTTTTCTCCTGGCTCCGGAAGTGATGTAATAGACATCACTTCCAGGTCCAGTGATCGGAGGAGAGATCAGCGGTTGGAAGCCGCTGAATCTCTCTGACCGTTGCGGGGAGACCCGCCGAGCCAGTCCAGGGTGCCGCACGGGGACAGCGGAGCCTGGGGAAACCAACGTGGGGGGAGGTGCCATAAAGTACAGGCTGTATAGACGCCGGATCGCTTGTACAATAACAGAACGGACTGCGCTGGTGTGAACAGAGCCCAGAAATACAATAGGGATACATTGGAAAGCTTTTTTGGTCTGGGAACAAACTGTTCTGGTCTTGGCATGGTCCGGACATGGTGTGAATAAACCCTTAGGGCTCATTCATAGTTTTCTTGTAGGAACACACAATCCGCATATACAAATCACATTTACACTGGATGACATATATTTAGCTACATTTTCGTGCACAAAACACATGGACGTGAGAAAGTATGTTGCTTTTAAAGTTAGCTC